CGCTCGTAGAGACATAGGGAGAGAGCAGACGCTTGACGTTTGCTCCATATCACTGTAACTCTGCTCGTACTTGACCGATTCGAAAACATCGCGGTAGTCGACCTGAACGACAAAGCCATTCGATGATTACATAGAATGGCAAAATGCTGCAGGGTACTTCTCAAGTTCACCTGTACGCACTATAGTTTATTCAAGGCCACAAGGAGAACATCATCAAGGTAGATGCCATACTACAGTGACCCTTTTGGCAGCAAATCAATCATAATACAGGCAATTCCATGACGATTGTCACATTGCTATCGGTAACCATGTGCCCTGACAATTCCATACCGTTAGGCTAGTGTGCAGCAAAGATGGCGTAAAACCTTGGGTGCTATGTAAGATGGCCCAAGCTTGTCGAGCAGACAAGTTCGTTCAGATCTCGCTCTACGGCAGCAGCCATGGTACCAAGACAGTGCACTGATAAAAGACAGATAGCTCCGCTAATAAAAATGGCTGCAAGAATGCGAGTGGCGTCAGAAACGCATGTTCGGAAGCTGCGGTGGTTGCGAAAGAGACTCAGCGTGCGTAAAGCCCCTTGAGCGTGCGTAAAAGTCAGCGCTGCCAGTCAGTCAACAATTCAGCATTGCAGCGCCGCCACCTTGATTGTCGCGATATGTTTCTGCCAACAGATCACAAGCGTTAACGTTTGCCTTCCATCGCAGTCACAGAAAGTACACTGCATTTGAGATCCGTCAATTATGCTTCATCTCCGAGTTCACCGTGGATCTCGCACACGGCCATGAGCCGCAAAATGTTGCCGCTGGTTAACTTTCTTGGATTGACACCTCGTCAATCCAGCCATCGATAGACATGAAATAACTTGCAGCTGTTCAGAGCAACGATCCCGAGCTGCATCATTTCGTTCTTCATCAATGTCTCTTTCAGTCACGGGGTTCCCGCTTCCATTTTCTACATCATTATTAACGTGCGTAACGTCTACTGGTGTGCCTCGGCCCTCCTTGCCGTCCACATTTCGTCGTGCAATTTTCGATCAACGGAACAACATGAGCCATCCTGTTATTCATGTGACTCAGAAGCTAGTAACTTCTCGGTTTCTTTAGCCAAGTATGAATGCTCACGTGCGACCCTCGGTACGCAGCTGCCTTCAGTGCCAACGTGTTGTTAAAGTTCACCGTCACACTGTCACGGCAACGTCTCCCTTTCGGCCTCCAGACGCAAGATTTTCCTATGTTCATCTGGACATTGTCAGTCCTCTTCCACCTTAACAAGGTGTCTGTTAACTGCTGACATGTGGGGAGCGCTTTACCAGATGGCCAAAAGAGTTTCCCATTTTAGACCTCACAGCACCGACAGTTGCTAGGGCTTTCACAAACGGCGGTGTGTCGCGCATTGCATGCCTTTCTGTCGTCACCACCGATCATGGTCATCAATTGAGTAAGCCCTTTTCTCTGCATTTAACAATATCCTGGGCATTCCACACAGTCAAACGACTGCCAACCACCATTCCGCCAATGACATGGTTGAACGGCTTCATCGACAACTGAATGCTGCCCTCACTTCTCACGAGCCAAGGGAACGTTGGCTCGACCAGCTTCCCTTTCTACTTCTGAGCATCTGATCAACAATAAAGGCGGATCTCAGCTGCTCATCAGCCTAGCTATGGCGTTTCCCTTCGTCTTCCAGGAGCATTATTTGAGCTATCGTTGCTACCTTCCACTGTTGGTGAGCGCTACGTTTCGTGATCTTGCTTCTGTAATTCCTGCCGACCAACACCCTCCGTTTGCCTTCGTCAGCCAAGATTTGCATGACAGAAGTCACGCTTTTGTTCAACGTGGTAAAATTCGACCGCCCCTCATACCGGCTAATGATGGCCCATTTCACGTACTGCATTGTACGCCAAAAACGTTCACGCTCGACATCAACTGTCGCGAAGACGGTGTAGCTGCCGATTGTTTTAAACGTGCATACGTCGCCGCTTTCGTGTCCGGGTAATTTACATCTGCAATCTCGATGCTCTCATTCAAGCACGTTCTTTGGGCGACTCCTACGACATAGGTTATACAGGGAAAAATCCTGTAGTGCCTCGGCACGTGGCTGTGTCAAAGAAGAAATTGGCATTCGATTGCGCGTCGCGTGCAGGGCGAGAATTAAAAAAAATCAGTTCGAAAGTCAACGCTGTCGGGACAGGTTCTGTCTCGTGTTAGGCCCGATATATTTATAGTGGTGAGGTCTAATTTACACAGTTTTGATTAGCGTTCTCATTAATAACGTTCCGTTGATTAGTGTTGTTTAGCATGGTGTAGTTAGCGCGTCAACTGGCATGCTTCAGTTAGCACGGTTCCAGCTTTACAGGGCTTTAATACTATGGTCTTATCAAGCTGGGGCTTAGTTAAGTCGGTCTTATCTTAGAAAAAGGAAAGAGAATAAAAAGAAAGACAGATAGATTGGCAATTAATTGGCCTAACCACCTTGGTCATAGCACGATCTGGCTTAACTAGCCAAGAGTAACACCGAGCCAAAGAGCTAACCAGCTGCATGTGCTCGGGTAGATGCGGCGGTGAAGGCGACAAAGAAGGCATGTATCGGCCGAGCAGTGCGCTAGAATTCACTGGCTGACCATGATGATTAACACGTGGCCTCAGGTTTAGCTACAGTCACGATGTTGTGAGACACTTCGCCCGAACGAATCTCATAGGCCACCGTGCTGATTGTTCCAAGCAGACTTAACACAGACACTAAAAATTTTCAAAATGAATGAAACAGGTGGGGCCCAACGTGATGCCACTTCTGGTGGCATTACGTTGAAGAGACCAATACAACCGTTGTATCCTCTCGAATATGCCGGACAAGCTGCAATATTTTGTAAAAAATCTTCTTAAAAGAAGAAACTCCACGCAAATTCTTCGGCCGGGAGCTGTTAAATACTAATTCGGAAGAGCGGCGAAGAAGAAGAAGAGGACTTGAGCGTGCCCGGATAGCATGCGCGCATTCCATTTTGTTTTAGTTTTTAACCCAGCGTCTAATTAACAAGATGTTTCTCTAGTATGGCTCTGCTTCCTGGTTTTCAACACTATGCCACAGTGGGGTGAGACAGCTAGATTTCACGTTTACCTAATCAGATTCATACGATGAATGAGATGCGCAGAATATTATAAACCGACTAGTCGTGCTGAGTGCCATAGTATAGCAAGATAAAATTAATAAACAATTGTTATCTCAACATACGAGTGCATTTTGATATGTCGCAGTACGAAAATACACAATTCTTACAATTTCTTCTAACTCAAAGGGCAATCAAGGCTTCAACGCACATGGCCCCACCGCATTGGTCTAGCGGCTAAGTTACTCGGTTGCTGACCCGCAGATCGCGGGATAGAATCCCGGCTGCGGCGGCTGCATTTTACATGGAGGCCAAAATGTTGTAGGCCCGTGTGCTCAGATTTGAGTGCACGAGAAAGAACACCGGTGGTCAAAATTTCCGGAGCCCTCCGCTACGGCGTCACGCATAATCATATGGTGGTTTTGGGGCGTTAAACCTAACATTGATTGATTCATTGATATGTGGGGTTTAACGTCCCAAAACCACCATATGATTATGAGAGACGCCGTAGTGGACGGCTCCGGCAATTTCGACCACCTGGGGTTCTTTAACGTGCACCCAAATCTGAGCACACGGGCCTACAACATTTCCACCTCCATCGGAAATGCAGCCGCCGCAGCCGGGATTCGAACCCGCGACCTGCGGGTCAGCAGCCGAGTACCTTAGCCACTTGACCACCGCGGCGGGGCAAAACCCAACATATCAATTAACTTTAACGCATATGTAAGAGGGTATCAAAAAGCATAGGCGTGCACACTAGGGTGGCAAAAAGGGGGGTGGGAGGGACTGCTTTTCCCCCGAAGCACCTATGGTAGCGCGTAGGTTGCGCCATTCATTTACTCGGTCAGGCATGTCCCGCAATGATTGAACAAGCAGGCTTATGGGCACGCACGTTACGAACGATGATGGCGGCAGTCCAAAAAATATTTACTTCCAAAACTAGGCCAATGTTCGAAGCACCTCATGGCGTCATTTTCCCTTCTTTTTCGTCTATTGTCAAGTATGTTGTCTTTTGCATCCTACTTGTGGTGCTGAGATGAAACTTGCCCCCCCCCTCCCCCAATGATGACGGACGCAGCACGCGCCTATAATGTAAAACCTCGTAACAGATTTTTTCCAAGCAAGTAAAAGACAATATTGTCAAGAAAGGCTTGCTTAGGCGTACACACAATGATAAGATGTAGAAGGACTAAACTAAGGCGAGTCTCCCGACTGTTTACCGAATCCGCTTTCAGAGAAAATAAATACTTGCATCACGAACTGTGCGTCTTTACAAGGAAGACATTCCGATTTTCGAAGCATTTTGTGGAGTCTTGCAACTGCTATCGAGGATAATTCAGTATACTATTCTCAGGCGGCAAACTCTGCTGCATTATGCTACTTTTTTGTAACTTTAGACTAACAAAACTGCGAAAAAACGTGCCTTTACTTGCTTTTGAGTTTCACGTGTTCAGGGTACACTGAACGAACAGTCTCACATAGCCTAACACCATTTGCCTTACGACAAATGACCAGTTGTAATTAGAGCTAGAAGAGCGCAAAATATTGATATATATGGTTTACTACACATACCAAGCTTAGGGGAATATCCGAATGTTCTATATAGCCTCTACGATACAAGTGGAATCGCCGCTGAGGTAAAGGCGCTGAAATCAATGTTTTAACAGTCGGATTTGATTTTAGCATGTATGTCTAAAAGTTGGCTCTAGGGACACTTCCTGTTCTACGATTTGTCATCTTTTCAAACCTTTATTTTTGAGTGGCATTCCGGAGTGGCATTCCGTCGTGTATAAATGTTGCCTCTGAAATGTGAAGAACATTCTATAGCTTATGCCTTTCTTTATGTTTTACACGGGTTAGCCGCTCTGAGGCTGACCAGTGCATAATTTCCTTACAG